ACAAAACCAGTCTATCTTACACATGAAAAGGAAGATATCCAAGAATTCCATTCCTGATAGCACAGCTAACACAGTGTCCATGACTGATTAAAACATGTCTAATTTGATTCATTTATAGCCACTGTAATAGGTTGAATACATACATATCAAATGAACAGTTGATAACTATATCCTCCTCGGACCAGGAATTGATCTCCAAAAACTACATGAAGAACAGTCAGTGCAAAGTCTGAGTGCCTAAATAGCAACTAACCACACCAGTTTGTGGACTTAGTGTCTTCCCAGCCCCAAAACAGATTAGACTCAAGCCCTTGCTGAATAATTGATCAAATTTTCTCAGTGCACAATCAGAGCCATCAGCAATAGATCATACAAATAGAAAATGAACACAAGATCTCCTTAATGACCTTATCTAAGGCACATAAGAGGCTGGGTTTCAAAATGAAGCTGCCTGATGGTTTTAGATAACCTTCCCTATTAATTACAGATATTCCTACTTGGGTAAGAGTCATCTCTACAGCTGAGCAGCACCATGGAAGGACTTAACCAGGCCAGATGGTACACACTTGCTTCCCTTGTGCACTTGTACCAAAAGAACACTTCAAGAAAGTAAAGTGTAGTAAGTTCCAGACTGCCACAGATGGGTCCCTCTGGAAGTGCTGGCATCATTACTTAGAGCAAAGGCAAGCCACAGTGCTTCATTTTACAAATCCTGACACAGCTCACAGTGTTCTCACAGCTGCAGTGCTTCCAGCTCAGGGCCCCAGCACATCCACAGATGCACCACCACATTTGCAAGACTTCTTTCTTACTTGCTCATCTGCACTGAATGTGACCCATCTCACAGGGACCCAAGCCTATTGAATCAGTGCTAGAGCCATTATCATCAAGGTTCTGGGGACAGATTTGATTTAAGGTGCCCTACAAGCTCAAAAATGGCTTGGTGCCTCACTTGCATCTTCAAAACCTCTAAAAATATCTTTAAAAAGCCTGGCTCTAGGACCCACAAGCCCAGTGGCCCTTTAGCTTTTATTTTGTCAAAGAAGGAATGCTGCCTATACCTCTGCAACTGCATCCCAGTTCTTCAGATGAAACACTCCCCATCCTCTCCTCCTAGGCATACGAAGCTGCTTACCTTTGCAAATAATAATGCCCCAAGCAAACTCTCATCAGAGGCAGTGTCCCTGGAGAATACCCCCACTTGAATCAAAACAGGAAGGAAACAGATTTAAAATGTTCTCCAGTTTATTTTGTGAGTTACTTTGAAGTCTGACTATGTAGTTGAATGTTTTTTCATGGGGACAGGTGCATAAGCACAAATGCAGTCTCTCCATACAAGTAATTGTTTCACGTATTTAGAGGAGAACATACAATTGCAATCAATATTTTCCACAAAGCAAGCATTTTTCAAGATTTGCTTTCCACACAGCCAGATGTGACACAGGTCTATTATGAGCAAGAATTTAAGCAACACTACATCAAAATGAAACAAGGGAGGTAACACACAAAGAAAAAAAAAAAAAAAGAAAAAAAGAAACTACCAGCTCTGCTTATTTCCTAGTAGCAGGTTTTTCATACGCACCAGTGCGGCTGTACTCAAACAAGCCTTCCACACTTAGATGCAATTTTACAGTCAGGCATCAAGCATACAGGCACAGGAGGTAATGTCTCAGCTCACTAGTAGAGGTGCAGCCTCACCAGTGCTGAGTACAGGGGGACAATCACTGCCGTAGTCCTGCTGGCCATACTATTTCTGATACAAAACAGGATGCTATTTTACAGCAGTAACCAGATTAAGTTCTAGTTGGGCTTTCATCCTTCTAATTTCTTCCCTGCGTAACCTCACAACATCTTTGTAGTCCTGCTAAGTTGCCCACCCCTGCTTCCAAAGGTCATAAAATCATCTTCTTTTCCCAAGTTCCAGCTAAAGCCTGTTCAGGCAGGCCAGCCTTCTTCCCCATTAGGTTCTCTTTCAGCACATGGGGTTGGCCTCCTCCTGCCCCTTTAATACCACTAGAAGTGTATTGAAATGATCCACAGCTGCCTTTAGCACTGACCTGAACTGTGTTCCAAGCTGTACTCATTTCAAATTGGATTGAAGCCAAAGCTACTGGAGACCAAACTTCCTTCATTTTTGATCCTTCAGCCAGCAGGAACAATGAATTATTTAACAATAAAGATCAGAGCAGACTGCTGTAACACATATCTCTGATCACTTCGAGTCAGCACCACTAGCTCTTCTGGCAGCCCAGAATCACAGAGCAAAAGAGATCCTCTGGCTGTTATTCCCATCTCTGAGGAACGGTTCAGATACAAGGACAGAAACTGACACTGCCTGAGCTACCAGGATGCCCCTTTTCAGCCCAAAGCTCCCTGATCTAGCAGAACTCCCAGTTCTGCCAATGGTGCCACTGCTCCATGCAAGGGCAGGCAGGGTTGGCATCTGCTGAGGTGTCTGTTGGATATAAAGCTAAACAGAACAATACAGATTTGCCCATTTCAGTAAGAATCACAGCTTATATCTAGTGGAATTTAATACCAGCACTCCAAGTCCAATGAATGCCACATTATTAATTTAATACTAGGCTTCCCTCTGGTCTTTTTACTCTAGGTTATTATTTCTCAATGAAAACATTAAGTAATTTTCAAACAGATGAGGAATTAACTGTTAGATACACTTACTAAGATTAAATATTGCAAGCCACCAAGTATCTTAATGAACGAAAAACACATGGGTAGCTTTGAAAGCATGATGCCTCAGACCAAGGACATCAGCTCTGCAAGACAGCTAATGGTGACAGAGCAGGATGAAAGTTCACCACATCTGGACTGGCACACAAAACAATGGGCAGCGCATGACACTCCAGTGGCCCTGGGCCAAGGCAAATGAGTTTAGCAGGATTTATTAGCTTGGGTTTCACGGTGGCACCAGTGAAAGGTGGTGGTAGCCCCAGGAAAGCAACACATGGAAGGAACCACAAGGAACAGCAAACAAAGAAGCACAGACATTTTCCAGCAAAGCTCACCTAATAGAAGCAGTTTGGGAAATGATCCACTCCAAAGCATCAGCAGCTGAACCAGAAGACAATGCATATGTCTCTAGGCTGCTTTCGTACACTTCATACTTCACTGTATCAACACTCCACCATTGCAGCGACCATACTGTATGGTGAATCCCATCCCTTGTATTTGTTAGGCTTATGAGGAGCTAATTTACAGCATCATAAGAAACTTAAATGTTCTGTTTGCGCTCTTAGTCACATTATGCTGTTTTTCCTCTTATTTTAAGTGTGATGAAATTGAACTAAATTGAAATTCTAGGAAAAAAATTCTCCAATTCGCCTTCTCTAGAAAGAACACCAAAATTCTGGGTGCCCAGATCTGATCTTAGAGCTAGAACCTACAAAATAAAACCTCACTTGGAGCTCTTCTCACCCCTGCTATACAATCCAAGGCTGGGAGAGCCTGTCCACACAGCTGATCCAAGCTCCCTGTACACCCAAAACCAACAGCAGAGGGTCAGGGTGGTAGGAGCTCAGCTGTCCCCACACTTTAACCAGTCATCCACCAAGTAGCACAGCCTGCAGCCTGAGCCTCCTACCAGAAGAGGAGGTCTATTAAACAAACAATACCTCTTGTAAGTATTTTGGAGAACACAGAGGTGTTGTTTAAGGAACAATGCAACAGCTCTGCTGACTATTGGGTCAGAAAGACATCAAATTAATTAAATACTGTACAATTACCCATTTCACATTTGTGCAGCAAGAACAGAAGTGAGAAGCCAAGTCACCATATTATCAATAATTAGTAAAATACTATAAAATGCAAACTAATGATAATGACATACTGAGCCCTATTGGTGCCTTTGGATCTCTACTTTGAGTATATAATTAAGAGAAGGACGGATTCTGCTAAGCAAAAGTGTACTGTTACTCTGAACAAACCAAGTCAGTTCCTAATTCTCCCAAGACCACCTTGAAGTGGTGGGATGACTTCACATCACATCAGCCTGGGCCTTGCCTGAGATGGCCCTTCCTCAGAGACACGGCCTCAAAAGAAAACAGCAAATACATGTGACTATCACCAAATGACAAAAGGAAGAGAAATTAAACTCCCCATTAGGTCCAATCTCTTGGAAGAGCTCAAATGTAGGATTTTGCTCTTGAGAGCTTAGAAACTGCTGTCTGCCATCCTGCTATTTCTTAAAGGTTCACGTGGTTGTTTCACCCAACCTAGCAATCTCCGTGACGCGTTGATGTTGCTTTTTCTACAGTAAATCAGGAGGAAACTGCCAGGACCTCGGCTAACAGCAGTAATTTAGGTTCTAATTCACCAGTGCTGTGATCCAAAATATTAAGAGAAATACCCACCTTCCATGCAGCAGCACCAGTACCATGGCCAAGACCTAAGCCATGGAGGTAACATGCCATCGGGCAACAACCTAATCAATCAAATAACAGAAGGCGATCACCCTGAAATCATTTGTATTATAGTGTGGTCAGAAAACCCAGCAACTCTGGGTCTCGCAGACACAGCCAAGCCTTCCGTGATTACAAGAACACCTGTTCTTTATTAGCATCTTAAAAGCACTCTTTCCTATTCCTTTATTCTCCCTAAAATTTGTGTCCGTGGGCACTCACCTGCCCATCCCTTCCCGTGTGGAAGGCACAGGTATCACCCACCACCACCACTACCATCACCCCATCCCCTGTGAAACCGCGGGGGCTCGGGCAGCGCAGCCAGGCCTCCTCACGGAGGGGAACGGACACCCTCTGAACCCCGTTTTTCCGCCTAGCCGGGCCCCGCGGTCGCGGCTCCCCTCCCTGCCGGTGCCAGGGGCAGGGCCGCCGGAGCGGACCCGGTTCCACCACGCCGCGCCCGTCCCCCGCCGCTCCCCTCCGCCCGGGCCGGCAGAAGCAAAGCCCCGAGCCCCCAGCGCCGGCCGGGGCCCGAGCCCCGTCCGGAGGGTGCCGCGCCCTCCCGGACTCCGCCGCACTCACCGTCCTTCGCCATGGCCGCGGCGGCAGCCCGGCCTCCCGCGCCCGCTGCCCGATAGCGGCGGCGGAGCCCCGCAGCGAGGCGGGAGGCGGCCCGGGCCGCAGCCGGCAGCGGGGAGGGTGCGCGCTGGCCCGTACGGCGCCTCCCCGGCTCGGTGCGGGAAGGATGCGGGAGCGGCCGCGGGGTCCCCGGGCTGCGGGAGTGAGCAGCGCTGCTGCAACCCGCGGCGCTGCCAGCGAGCCCTGCCCGGGGCGCTTCGGGCGGGGGGACAGCGCGGAAGGCAGCACAGCCCGACCACACCACACCGCGGCCCCGGGCGCAGCGGCACGGGCGGGACTCCGTGGAACGTCTCTCGCTTGGGGTGGTAAAGCTGCTTCACCTCGCTTTACAAAACGCTGTGGCATCGTTCCTCACGAGTCCTCAGGCCTGTGATGACCTGTTCCTAGCCTACATAAGGTACGTCAACTCCAGCCTAGCTTTCGGGGGCATGGTCAACACAGAGCCCTGGCTCGGAAACTAATCTGGAGACACAGCAGGTTGCACTCAGCCTGTCAGTAAGATTTAAATGCTGCTTCACTTTTCATCACACATACAAAACTCCCTTCCAAAGAAACAAGTCACTCCAGATCTCAAAAAACCTTTAGCAGCTGATGGCTGGCTCTTATGTCCTCCATTATTCTCCATATCCAGGTTTATGATTAAAGAGAAAGTTTGGGGTCTGAAGCTCAAGCTGTTGCAAAATAATTTTGCTTTGCAGCCAGCAGAGAAGACTGACCCAAGTTCTCAAGTGGTAGGGGTGAGACAGAGTTTCAGCACATTTCTCATTCCCTTGTAGCTCATAAAGTTCCTACAATTTCACTTGCAAGTGTGGGGCTGCATACACATGGGGGAGGGAAGTTATTTCATCACCAGGATTAATCAGATGCCTAGATTTAAGGACAAAGATGAAAATGGGGTGAGGAAGCCAGATCCATGCAGCAAGCTTTATAAAACATGAACAGGCAACTGCAGCAGCAGAATGAACTTTAAAATGAAACATGCCAGAAGAGATAAAATATCTGTATCATTTGGAGAATTTGCTATGCATGTGTGATGAGAGATAAGCTCTCTGCATAGGGTCCTGTTATGCAAAACACACGAGTATAGCACTAGAATGAACCTCTAGTCCATCTTCAGTCTCCAAAGCACGACTAGGTCTACTTCAACCAACCACGACTCATGTTTTTCCAACATTGTTTTGAACTTCAACAGTAAAAGTGATTCTGCTGTTTAAGGCCAAACTGTTTACTTAACTGCAAAAAATCTTATGAAGAAAATTAATGTTGCTGCAAATTGTATAGCTCTACCTCAGTGAACACAGAACACAATTAACCACCACTTGCATAAACACGTACTTTAAACCTGTAAAGACAGTTACCAGGAATTGTTTCACTCTCAAACTCTCTTTTCCAGACTAAACCCTCTTCCACTCTGTTTTCTGTTTGTGAATGCTTTTTTAGATTCTCTAATGATTCCAGAGGTGATGTCTGTATCCTCCCCAAATTATACACAACACAGATCACGGCTGCCACCCATGGCATTTGGAAGTTCACCCTCATATTGCTGATCTGCCTTCAGTTTGAGGGCTGCAAAACATGCAGACTGAGAACAGCTGCTCATGCAAGCATTGCCAAGCTGACATTTTCATCTAATCTGTCCTTCCAAGTGCAGCCCTCTACACTTCCCTTTATTTAATTAGACCTTGTTGATTTTACCCATTATAAGAATAAAAATTAGACTGGAAAATGTCTTCTACTTAAACAGTTTCTAAACTGGTGTCACCTATAAGTGTTTTAAGTTTATTCTGCTTTTCATCACCCACACTGTACTTGTCAACATTGCATAGCAGTAGCTCAGACCTCCACTTGGAGGATCCTTTAGCTTTGCCAAAGCAATGAATGTAATTCTTCGCTCAGTTGCGTACCCATCTCAGAGAAGTTTCAGCCAAATCATATGTCTCTAATTCGTTTACGAACACTGTAACTACACCCAGATACACACTGTCACATTGCCCTACTTCCAACCACCAGATCAGCTGGAAGTTAGGCTGGCCTTAAGAGACTGTTTCCTTGCAGCCTTCCAGGCTGCAACCTTGAGGCTACAAGAAGAAGAGAAGTTAGAACCTAGAGAACAGTATTCTTGGAAGTCTAGATTTACTGTTTGGGGGGGAGGGGGGGGGGAGAGAGGTAGTTTTGTTTGTTTGTTTTTTAATGACAGCTGCTTGCTTCAAATTAAGCATTTAGGAAGTCCTGTTTGTAAAAGTCTGTAATTGCCCATCAAACTACAGCAAGGGATTTAAGATTACACCAGCATTATGCAACTTTGCTTACAGCTGCCTCTAAATTCTCAGGATTACCATTTTGAACTATTACCACTGCATATAGTCAGCAGTTCTAAGTCTATCCTTAAGCATAACTTCCATTTTACATCTGTGTAATTTTATAAACAAATTAAAGAATGCTTGCTTTCATAATTGCAACATTACACAAATCTTTGAGCCTAGTCAAGCCTTCGCATGCTTCCAATGTGGATTTGCAAATCATTTTTAGAAGTGCGTGCAGGGAATTTAGCTGAAAATAACCTGTCAAGAATGTAAAAAAGATTTTTTTGTAGCTGTGCTTCCTCTTTTGCTTCCTTGAGAAAGATACCTGCAAGTTGGAGGGAAACAGAAAAAGAGAAGTCACTTTCAAGTTTCTCTTCAAGGGAAAAACACAACCATGTAGCTGGAAGACGTACCTTAACCTTGGTGACTAGAAACAGCAGAAGAGGATTGGTGCTGTAAAGTTCATCCTTAAGCAATTTCCAAAGTGAAGAAACCCACAAGAAATTATGAATTTGAAGCTGTAGTCCCACTATCTGCTACAAAGAACTCTCCATCCGTATCTTTTTTAGATAAGAAGAGATTCAAGTGCTCCACTGCATCTCATCATCACATTGCTCCACTATTACACCTCTCCTGCTATCCATTCCCCGCAATGTGAGGATACTGGAAAGCTTCCTCTATACCCACACCCAAAGCAGCGGCTGGAATTCACAAAACTGACAAACACAGTATTACCAACAGGACCTTAACTGCATTAAGATGAGCAGAAAATACTGACCAAGAAAGTCTGGTTAAGTTTTCCTTAAGAGGTCTCTTCATGTTTCTTGTATTTGCTTCCCAAAAATTAGGAGCAGAAATGCATAGAGGCAGAATGAGTTTAAGCTGGCAACAGAAAAACACAAGTATCAGCTTCTTCCATGCCTCTCCAGTTTATAAAAATCACTTTGAATTCCAATCCTGGCCATGTACAGCTTAGGGTCATCTGCAGAATCAATAAATACAGTTTACATTTCTTTATTTGAATACACAATGATTCCAGATCTGCTGGAGACAGTGTACAATAAAAGACTTATCACCAAGTACATTTCCTGCACCTGTGGGATCAAATCACAACAAACATTGCTGAAGTTACACACTATAAAATGGATCAAGTAAACTGTGAAAAATAATTTATTGTACTAATTTTCAACAGTCAATAACCTTAATTTTATGTTCAGAGACAAAAGATTACAAACATGTCTCATTTGGGGAAATACTGTGAGCTGTTCTTTTACAGTCTCGGCTAAAACCATCATTTCAGATCAACATGAGTTCCAAGCAGTAACTCATATTGTACAAACTAAATACAACAAGCAACCATGTTCTCTTTCAATCTCAAACAGAGCACAGCAACTTTGTCTCCCAAAAGAAGCATTCACCCGGTGAACAAAGACACCAGAAGCTGTACCAAGAGGCAGCTAAGGTATACCACTCGTTACCAGTATTCCAGCATCACCTATAGTTGTGGTCCCAGTCGCTTCCTGTTGTATGTTCAAAGACATCCAAGACAAGCACTTTGTGTTACCTCTGACATTAACATTTTGTCATTAAAATTAATGTTGGCGCTTCTCCAACTGGATCCTCTAACATCTTCTTTTCCTCTCGGGAAGAGATGCTTCTGAAAGGAAATAAAGAGATTTTCTGACAAGCTTTTCAATCTGTCTTCCTTCATGGGAATTATTAAAGTAAAATTAACTCTGCCCAGCAAAGGAAATTAATTAGATGAGCTCGAGATCCCCTCCCAATTCCTCTCCCCATTGTTTTAAATATGAAAAAAAATAATCTTACTGGATTATACAGCACACTATCATTCAGTGTCAATTACAATTCCACTGATAAACAAAATACTGTACTTCAAAAGTTACTCAACCTTCACAGCTTTCTGCTTGTCATGAACACCTTCAAGATTTCATTGTGAGTTTGTCAAATTGAATACTCACAAAATTAAGCACAGAATACTTGAAGAGATTGCTCAGGGGTATTCTTAATGCCTCAGAATTTTCTGAGAAATAGAAAACGGAAGAAACTTTTTGCCCACAACATCTTGAAGGATAAGTAAGTAAATAAAGTATGGTATTAAATGCTAAATGCACCACTGTGACTTCAATCTGACCATTTAAAATTGAATGAATTCACATTGTCTACAACTAAGGTAATCAGAGAATGCAGTCTCGTTTCAGTATCACAAAGCACACTTTTGCTTTTAAAAAGCACAAATATAAATGTGCTACCTCACTACAAATGTATTTTAATAACGATCATGCTTCCTTGTACGAAATACCCTTCCATTACATAAAATTTTGGATAGTAAATTAATTCCAAAAGATATACTCCTTACACTTACTTATGTGCTTCAAGACTTCCAGAAGTTGTTACTAACTCTTTGCCCCCCGCTTTAAGTAACCTAAGTAAACCCTACTCTTTCAGGTTAAGAACCAGAACCTCTGGTCTATCAAATCTGCCTTCCACTCTAAGCAAGACTAAGCCAGTCTTAGACCAGCCAGAACTGTCAGCAGAAATCACGCCTTTAGCTGGCCGGCTACTCTCCCAGTAGTTGAGACATGGCAGCAAAGCAGTATCCTGGCTCTTCCCAGAGCACGGCTAAGTAAGGTACCTCAAGATAAGAAGGATGCAGCATCTCAGCTCACCTGGAGTACTGTGTGCAGTTCTGGTGTCCTCAACATAAAAAGGACATGGAACTGTTGGAACAAGTCCAGA